ATTTTGTTGGCGAAAAAACAAAACAAAATAGAGGGTTATGAATTTCCTTACTGTTCCACCTTATCGATCTGGTATGTTTCGAAGATCTTTACTGCTTATTGTGGCATTACGAAATTAACTGTTGCTATAACCAATTAGTTCTACTTATGTTAGTTACTGCTTTGAAGCGGCATATTCAAAGGAAACGAACATGGACACCATCGAAAGAACCTTAAATAACACGTATTATAACTTATTCAGAAGAATTGCTGTGACAGAGTACGGTTAAAAGAAGATTAAAAGATAATTTGAAATTTATTGAAGTAGTGTGAGTCACTTCTTATATAGCAAGTATTTTATGACTTGTTTGTTAACTTAATTTTTGATAAGTTTGTACTAGACTGAGAGTAAGTAGTGTAAAATATTTTGATTTCATCTAAATAAACAAGATAAATGGTGCTCATTCTTTCTTTTATTGCAATCTTTGTAAAATCATGAATATTTCTCCATTTTCGTTGTAGATGGCTTGCTCTTCAACACCAACTTTGGCTGATTTTTCAATGTTACTGTGGGAAAATTTGGTTAATATTGAACAACAACCAACACTTGATATTTCAACTGTTCTTGCAGCATATAAAATACATTTTCCTTCTGAGTATGAATGGATGAATGGATGTATCAAAACATATGGCAAATTGGCATGTGATGAAACAGCCATTTATGCAGGAATATTGAGATTAATCAGTGCAATATCTGGTTCTACATTTTACGTTGATAAATCCAATGGAAAAGAACATCGCATTAATTTATATGTTCATATCATTGGTGAACCAGGTGAGCATGTTATTGCGATAAACTATCATCTTGTCAATAAGATATTAACACTACCTCACGGAAGAGATAATGTTACTTGTTTACGCTTTTACATTAAGCTGTGACTATTAGTGTTAAATCTTGATAAATAGCAGAAAAACTTTCAAATTTAAAACACTTTTCTAATCGGCTTGCTTTTTCTCAATATTCCAGGTATTGGAAGTTGCTATATGCTTAGTTTATACATATTTGATTGAAATATTGACTTCTGGTAGAAATAATATCTAATCGAGTTAATTCTAAATTGAAAATAAGAAAGACTGCCAATCAATCTTATGTATATTGTTCGACGATTATCACAAAAAATATTGATCGTGCAGCATGAAATGACGAAAAATATAGGAAATAACCGATTCGAACAAAAATAAATTTCCTTTCTAAGTAACGTTGAAAGAAATTTTTGCTACTAGAATATATCAGTTATGAACATATTTTGGAACACCTAGCAAAAACTATCTGTTGCTAAGATTTATTTTATTGACTTTTTTAAATGGAATTCTCTAAGAAATAATACGTATGATATTTGCAACAATTGTTTTAGGTAGTGGTAAATCTACTTCAGTCAATTACATAAAAACAGCTATGTGTCAACTTATTGATTTATTTCCTGATTTGTACAATAAGAAAATAAATGTAAATGATAAAGTTATTACAATGACATCTGATGTAACAACTGGTTCCAATGATAATAACACATTAAATGATACACAATTTGATACAATAAATAAAAAAAAGCCCATTCAATTGATTCTAATAAGAAAAAAACAAATGAAGAACGTATGAAAATGATTGTCAATTTTGATACTGAACTAGCTTTATTTCGTCAAATGGCCCTGGTCAGTATACGGTTTTTTCAAAATCTCTTCATTTGACGACTAACTAAATTAAACGTATTAAATTTTTACAGATCGGTGATTTGTTTGCCATTACTGATGAATTGGATAGTCAATTAGTACGTTTAGGTGTCTTTAAATCAAATGATGATTCAGCAGCACCTGGTTCCAAATTGCTGACTCAAGCATTTGATGGTATTTATAATGAATCACGTGGAACTGGAACAGCAAAATATGTTATAGATAATGCTAAATTGACAATTTTTGGTGCATCTACTGGCCAACGGTATGCATTCAACATGCGTAATTTTTCACAGAATATTGGCAATGATGGTGTATTTGTCAGAATGTCGTATTTAGTTATGCCTCACGGTGGATCAAAGTCTTTATGTAATCGATTACCAATTTCGATACCAAATGCTCTTCATATTGGTCAAGGGGGAAACAGGGGACTTCAAGAC